CGAGGGCCCCTGCAGGCTGCTGGCTCCCAAGGCCCTGGCAGGTGAGCACACCTAGGCAGGGCTGCCTCGCGCATGGAGGTACAAAACAGCATGGTGACCTCTAATGGCTCCCTTGGGGTGGCCTGGGCCCCCTGGTTTTGTGTTGGGGTGAAGGGTGGGGTCCTGAACTTCAGTGAGTACCTGAACCACCTGGAAAAATTGTTAAAATGCCGATTCTTGCAACTCTCCTGCAATCCTTCCCATCCCAGATTTTGATTAGTGAGTTTGGGGGGGGGGGGCAGGCATCTACATTGTTCAATAAGCTCCCCTAGTGACTCTGAAAGAGATGGTTCATGAACAAGTCTTAGCAACAAAGACAGACAAAATCTGAAAAATTACTGTTCCATAAAATACTCCAGCAGAAAGGACCCCTGGTTAGAGAATCCAGCTAATCTAGTACCTTCAGTTAGAAAACTGAGGATCAGAGAGGGGATGTGATTCGCCTAAGGTCACACAGCAAGGCACTGGCAGAACTAGAGCCTGAACCTATGTCTCTTGTCTCCTAACCTGGTACTTCCCTATCCAAGTCCATTGAGAACCAGCTATTTAGACTGGTCTTTAGTTCCTCACCAGCTAGGCCCAGTGGGACTGGAATGCTGTAGGGTGAGGAGGCCTCTCAAAGTGGAGTGAGACTGATGCAGCGAGTGGTTGGAGGAGTCCAGAGCCATCCCACACACCTCGAGAGGGCTTCCTTCTACAGCCACCTTCCAGAGGAGACACCAGCTTATAGCAGCCAAGATGCCACTAATCATACCACCCCCAGGATTTGGAGCGACATTTTTGTCCCTTGTCACTTCCATCTAGCCCTTGTACCTCCCTCTCCAAGGAATGCTCACAACCAGGCTGTCCTCAGGAGGGAGAGTCACCCCAGGTCTGGCCTGCTGAGTCCCACAGTCCTAGGGAGACTTTAGAACCTCAGGAGTCTATTGGAAACTTTCAGGAATATGGAGTCTTTCACCCTCAACCACACACACACACACACACACACACACACACACACACACACACATACACACACACACAGAGTCTTCTACAAGGCCTGTGGCTTTGATGTCATTGGTAAAAGACATAACAGATTGATTTCTGCAGAGTAAAGCCTGTCCCTAACCTACTCCTGACATCACCAATGGTCAGCAACAGCATGCTAGAGCACCACAGTGAGGGTTTCTGGGGGAGTAAGTGTTCAATGACATCATCTCAGACCACCAGAGAGCTTCCCAAGTCATGCAAACACTAGAAGCCAGGGGCAAGTGATTAAGAAATTAAGACAGGGCAGTATTGCAAGGGCAGACCAATAGACCAATGGAAAGGATAGATTCCAGAAAAGACCCACATCTGACTGATGACAAAGATGCCAGACCCCAAAATGGTGTGATTCCATCTATGTGAAGTTCAGTAATGGGTGAAAATAATCTATGGAGGCAGAAGTCAGAAGCACAGTGGCTCTTGTGGGGGTCATGGTGCTGCCCAGGAGCTTGCCAGGGGCTAGAAATGACTTGTGACTTTATCTGGAGGGTGATTACACGGTATATCCATATGGAAACTCATGGAAGGGTACAGTTAAGATTTGTGAGCCGAGGTGTAATATTAATACTTTAACTTCTCTCTCTGAGTCTCTGATTCCTCATCTGCAAAATGCAGACAATGAGGCCGCCCTCGTAAGCTGACAATGCAGACGGGGCCTGGCACATGGCAGTCAGTAAACATTAATGGTAAAAGGAGACAAAGGAGGAAAAAACAGGGCCCAATGATGACAACAACAAAAACAACAATAACAATCATCTCACTATCATTCTGGGATGCTAGGAACCCACATGCAGGGCACTGTGCTAAGTGCTGCTTGTGCATTAACTTATTATGGTCTTCTCATGTCTCCTAAAGTTAGGTATGAAAAAATGGAAAAATGTTTCTATAAAAATGGATAAAGTGACCCTTGATATATGCCAGGGAGAGAAGTGCTTGGGGACTGGGCAAAGCCTCCATTCGGTGCTCCAGCCCCTTTGAGTAGTTGCTGATGTGGGCCATCAACCAGGTGGCTCCAGGTTCCATCAGCCCAAGGTAGATCCCTGGGAGGGAGATGGAGACAGCAAAGGAACAAGGACTTTGGAGTTATGCAGACCTGGTTTCAAATCCTGGCTCTGCCCCTGCTAGCTGTGTGATATTGGGTAAGTTGTTTAACCTCTCTGAGCATTAGCTTCCTCATCTGTAAACAGGGTTAATAATATATATTAATACTTCACAGGATAGCTATGAGGAGGAGAGATTATATGTGTCACATGCCTGGTACATATTAGTTGCTTATAATAATTATTATTGTTATTCCCAAAGAACTGTGACATCAGCAGGCGCCATTCTGCATGTACACAGAAGATAGCCAACACTCTCCCCTTGCCCTGCCTCACAGAGGCCAACCCAGAGCATGAGGCTGGTTTATTTACCTGTTCGCTCATTTATGGATGCCTACCAAGCACCTGCTCTGCACAGACCGTTGGCTTTATCTGCAAGGTATTGCAAGAGGGCGGAGGCAGGAGCAGATGAGCCCAGGCCTCGGAGGGCACACCCTGCCCAGCTCCCTCTGCTCACCTCTGGCCCAGCTGCCCCCTCCTCCCAGGCCCCTCACTTGGCCACAAGCAAGCAACAGTACCAGAGTGCATCTTTCTGTCTGTACTTGTCCTGGAAAATCAAAGTTGCCTCTGATTAAACGCCGTTACAGCTCTGGGCTTGCTGGATCCAAGGAGATTAATGGATGTGAGGGTGCTGCTGGAATGCAAATCCCACCGCAGCTGGTAGTAAGTAAATGCCAGGAACCTGGCTGGGGGTGAGGCCTCTGGGATCTCTCCTGAGCAGCAGGCAGAGAGATGCTGCTCCCTTTAAGGCTGTCCAGGAAAAGCCAAGGGTGATCTCTCATCCCATCCGATTCCTTCTTCACTGGAGCCAAAGACTTGGTATTCCGCCCGAACACCCTCCCTGCTCCCACCGCTGATGCCTGCAGTGAGGGAAGCAGAGTCAGGGCGGCCCCTAGCTATGTCACTGGCCGAGCGACCTCAGGAAAGGCATTTGCTCTCTCTCTGCTTTTCTCCCCATCTGTGCAGAGGAAGGGTGAATTATCCTTCTGCTCATTCTCTTCCCCCAGGCAGAACGCTCCCAGGAAAGCCCGACAGGCAGCTCGGGCCACGGCAGTGCTGCCCTGGGGGAAACAGGTTGGGCCCTGTGTCCCTGCAGCTTCCCCACAGGCCACCCATACTCCACGGCCCCCAGAGGGGTGCTTGGAGCACTGTTCCTCAAGTCAGGTAACCACAGCTTTCCTAGAAGCCTCAGCTGGCTGTAACGACAGCTTTCCCTGCCGTGTTCCCGGCAGCAGCTCACATGCTTTCATGCAGCCCAAGAGTAGTGGGATCAGGCAGACCTGGGTTTCAATGCCAGCTCTACTAGCTGTATGACCTTGGGCAAGTTACCTCCCCTCTCTGATTCTTCATCTGCAAAGCAGAGATGATAAGACCACTCTCATAAGTTTATTCAGAAGAAAAGGGCTCGACACAGGGAGTCAGGCATTCAATAAACACTAATGGTAGAAGGAGACAAAGAAGGAAAGGATAGGCCCCAGGACAATATAATGAAATCAACCACAATCTAGTTACCATTCTAAAGCACTCACCACACAGCAGGCACTATGCTAAGTACTGCCCATGCCCTAACTTAAATAGTCCTTGCAACGCCTCTCAGAGGTCCCATCCTTAGCCCCATTTACAGAGGTCACTAGGAGGCCTGTGCAACTACCACACCCCCTGCCACCCCAGCTGGTCCATCTGCTGGGCCAGTGTGGCTTTCTCCTCTGGGCCTTCTCACCACTGGGACCACATGCTCATCTTCAAGTGTTGCCTCGGGGGCGGGGGCAGCAGAGTAGGAGAGAACTTTCACCCCCCCAGGTCTGGCCCCCGCACTGCTTCCTCCCGCGCGGCCGGCTGGAGTGGCAGGTCACATCGCTGCACTCCTCAAAACCCTTCAGTGATTCCCCAGCACCTCCTGGCTCACACCCCAAACCTTCACCATCTGTCTCCATGTGTACCTCCCCATGTGCCCCAAGGAACCCTGCCCCAGCCCTGCCCAGCTTCATCCATTCCCTTCCCCTTCCTCGAAGAGCCAGTCCCCCGCAGGCAAACTCCTACTCATGCTGCTGGGGATGCAGACAGTGGCAGGGGTGAGCGCCTCCTCCTCCCCGCAGCCCCTGGGGTCTGGCTCACTCCCCTCTTGCTGCCTGAGATGTGGCTGAAGGGTTCAGAAGCGCATCTGACTCCCACGCTAGGCACTAGGGATTGGGTCTGGTTCCCCCGTGAACCCCACACCTGGCACACAGCAGGGCCTAAAAACTGATGAATGTTGTTGAAAGAGTCCAACTCCACCCCTTCCTGTGGGACCCTGTTGCAACCAAGAAACAGAAAACGGGGTACAGGCCCCACCACTGGCCAGTTTTCCCTGAGATGGAGGAGATGGGAGGTGGGAGACACGAGCCCACCCTTTTCCTCCCTACTTTATGAAGCTGATGCAGTTGGCTACTGCTGTCCCCTTTTTGTCTGATGCCTTGAGATCTGTGTAGTGGCAGGGAGAGGGGAGAGTGGGAAGAGGTAGGGGATTGTAAACAGGCCCCACAGAGGCAGAAGGATTGAGTCCCACTGACTCTGCACCACCGTCCTCTGTGGCCGCCCAACTGCGAGGAGCTCAGATGACACCAGAAGAAAGGACGGCAATCACTCTCGTCCAGGCAGGAGGTGCAGGGTGGGACTCAGCATTTCCCTGCAGCCCTGTGTACAGAGGGTTGGCCCGGATGACCCAGAAGGGTCCTTCTTGCTCAGAGAGTTTGTAATTGTCCAGGCAGACAGTGGGGCCAGACTCTGAGGCCTCACCTGGGCAACCCGACCAAGCCCACATCCCCTGGCACAGCAGCCCCCACCCCTCGACCTCACCTCGTTGACATCGATCTTGTTCCTCTCCATGTAGTCTCTGTCATTGACCTGCCCGCCGTCCACAAACTCCATCAGGAGGACCCGCTTGGTGGACAGCTCCCAGTAGATTCGGGGGACCTAGGAGAAGAAAGGGCAGGTGGGAACGGTCCAGGGAGGCTGGGAGTCAGGGGAAGGTCTACACAAGCCACAGTGCGTCAGACAGCAGCAGATACTCCCTCCCAGAACAGGGGAGAAGAGACCCACGAGGGACTTCAGCAGAGGCTGGGGGCGGGGAGCGGTGGTGGCCAGGCTGAGAGAGGCAGGCTGCTCCACCCCTGCCAGCTAGGCCCCAGCCCAATCCCTCAGAGAATGGCCTCCTCCACCCTCCCCCCTGCATCCCACATACTGTTGAGGGCCAAAACTAAAATTGAACTTGGGAAGAAAATATGTGAAACACCTCATGCCTGGATGTGGGTGTTTAAAGCTATTTCCCTGTCTCCATCCCACCATCAGGCCCACGTCAGATTCCTCGCATGAATCTTAACTCTTTGCCTCAGTTTTTTCACCTGGGTATTGGGTGTGTTATATGCATTGAGCGGATGAGTAAATCTTTACCAGATGATAGATTTTGTCTCTCCCATCAGTTTCCTACCAGCCCCTGTGACAGACAACGCTAGATCTTACCCCAACATCTATTCTCAATCTTCCTCTTCTCTAGAGAGGAAAAAAACCTAAATATCAATACTTTCCTTGCCTGCTGTGTAGTAGGTATGGCCATGGGACACAGTCCTGGCTTATGAACATAAGTGGAGGTTTGCTAGGCGATTCTGGGAAGGTTGTTATTTTCTTGATAAAAGGGGATGTTTGTATGGTGCTACTTTTCTTCCACTTCTCTTCCTGCCTTGAAAGTGATTCCTGGAGCTGCAGCAGCCATACTGCGACCATGAAGAAAAATCCAAGAAAATCACCGCAATGCCAACCCTGATACTGTCAAACCACAAAAACAATATGAGCAGACAACTGCTACAAGCCCCCTTGCTATGGGAAGAAAATAAATCCTTTTCCTTTAGTATAGTCTAAATGGAGCTTTCAGACACTTGCAACCAAATGCATTACTAACTGATACACTCTCCAACTCCCTCTGACTCTGAGAACACCCAAAACCCAAAAAGAGAACAGATTTCTCCAGGAGTAGGCAAGAGACTGGAGTACACCAGGGCTGCTGGCCTGCCATGAGAGAGTGGCATCCGTCAGGACCCCCGTAAGCCAGGAGGGAGGAACTGCTGGGCATGCCATGTTTCCCCAGAATTTTGATGGGTTTGTCTTCTCTTACAAATAAAGAAATAAGGGCAGCTAATTGAAATGTTGTGGAGAATAAGATCTTCCTTCACCCTAACCCAATAAACTTGTCTAGTAATAACATAGTGGCCCTCAAGCCAAGAAACCTATTCCTTGTTCCCACTTCTGCTAAAAACTGCTGCATGCGAGAACAGCCCTGTAACTCCTCTATGCCTTAGTCTTCCTCGCTAGAAGAACTGTTTTTGCCCCATCTCAGTAAGGAGCTCTGAGGGTAAAGGGGCCACATATACTAGTAAAATGCTCTGCTTGGACGAAAATCAAGGTGCTATTTTGGTTTGCTACTTCCCTGTGGTTTTTGCCATTTGAAAATCTGGGCCAATAGAGAAATCTGTAACTCTCTGCTACCTTGAACTTAAAATGTAGACTTGCTAGGCATTTTTCAAAAAGTACCTTTTTAAAGATGAGTGCAAGTTTGTTGTTTTTGCTCATAGCTTACATGAAAGCGACATATTTTGGGGTTAAGTTCTTCCCAGTGGGTTTGTCTGGAAATCTAGGCTTAATGGTGGACCCCTGGGGCTCTAGAGACAGGAGGTCAAACCCCCAGCTAGGCCTGCCTAGGGCAGCTTGGAGAACAGCCAGGAAAGAGTCACAGGTAGAAAGAGAAAACCCAAAGGCTAGAGATTCTCTGTGTTTGTTAATCAGGGTCCTCCTGAGTGTGCTGAGGTCTCCCTCCCCTCCCTCTCCCCTTCCTGAGTCTCCCTCCAGTCTAAAATGGATTGTGCCCCTGGCTTCAGCTGCTCAGATCTGACACATCAAACCTGGGCAACAGAGGGGTTTGCCATGCAAGCTCGAGGACTGCAGGTGCACCCCAACAGATGCAACGTGGAAACGACGGGAAGTGCCCAAATGCTCCCTGCTCAGTTAGGAAAGTGACTTGCCCCTAAACTCACCATGTGGGCACGAGGGCTTGGGGTGAAATTCACTTCACAGAGGCTCTGGAGCCTGGCTGCCCCTTACCGGTGAGCTGTGTGACCCTAGGCAAATGGTTTGATCGCCCTGGGCCTCAGTTTCCTCTCTGATGATCTGAGGCTAATAACGGCACCTCCTTTGTGGGGCAATTATAAGGATTAAAGAGTAAATACATGTAAAACACTCCAAGAAGTGTCTACCACAGCACAGACACATAAAAATATTGCATACTAATTGCTACACATCAGGGGTTCTTAATCTTTGAGGTGGTTAGGAAGCTATGATGCTTCCCCAAGAGCACACACTCAGTGTATGTCCACCCTGTGTCCCGGGGTTCTCAGCTCCCACTAAGAAACCCTGGGGTGGCCCTGCTTGTGAGATGGCCCTCACCCATCCGCACCTCCAGGCACACAGACATACTCTAGCCTCTTCAGGTCCCAAACCCTGTAGCTATGAGCCTTCTCTCCTGCTACTCTGTCCCCAGTTGGCCCCAGGTTAGTCACAAACCTCACCACTTGTCTTGTGCCCTCCCCTCCCACTCTGATGCCAAACTCATGGTGCTGGTCTTGACCTTTGGCCTGGCTGCCCCTCACCCTCTCCCAATCTCCCTGTCACCACATTCACATGCTCGTCTGAGGCCTGGAGATTTGCAACCCAGGGCTGAGGTTCTTTGTTTTTATTTTTATTTTTTTCTTTCCTTAATTTTAATATTTTTTATTTATAGTTTTTTTTCTTTTTCTTTTTGTTTATTCCCCATTTAAAAAGTTTGACAGGGCTGAGGTTCTTAAACCCCACAAAACGCAGGAAGACGCCTCACACCCCAAGAGGTGAACTCTTTGCTGAAGCTTCATTATGCACAGATGTTGTGATGGGCTGCCAGTGTGCAAAAGCAATCCATCTCCAGGCTGAAGAGCTGAGCAGGGTTCACAGTGCAAAATTCTCTTCCCGCTTGTTACGTGTTTAGGCAAAATTAATTACTCGGGAGCCTTAATTCCAGCATCATCTTAGGAATGGGGCGAGAGTTTTGGAAGCAGCAGGTCAAATTGGTACATTAATTATTTACCCATTTGGCATCTTCGTTTGAAAAATGTTTGTTATTGTTATTATTATGTGTCTTGGTCTGGCAGTTGCTAGTTGGCCCCAGCCAGGGTACAATTTTGCTGTTTCCATGGGAACGGTGCAGGAGATGGTTCTGTTTGTCTGCTCATAGTTCTGGCTCTGAGGGGCACCCCTGCCGGGTAAAAGGCAGCAGAGGATGCTGAGAGGAGCACCAGACTTGGAATCAGAAAATCTGGGTTGTGGCTGTAGCTCCTTTACTCAAACTGTCATCTGTACAATGGGCTGATGGCTGTTGGAAGCGTTCAACATCATACTACCTGCACAGTGTTCAATGCAGCAGCACAAGACAGAAGAAACAAATATTCAAGAAATATTGCCCACCCCTTTGTATAGTCAATACTTCTTGGAAGCTCCCTCATGAGCTCTATATCCTGGGTGGAATTAAGTCCTGCCTCTTGGGACTATCCATGAGAAATGTGGATAATTGTCTGTCTCAGGGCTAACTAACTTGCATATGGTCCCCCACTAGATGAAAAGTTTTCTGGGCAGGGGCCAACCCCCAGCTCCGAGCACAACAGATTCAGGAAAGGCTTAATAAAGGAATGAAAGAAATGGGATATGCAAGTAGAAGCATATCTTAGATGCCACAGTATTATCTTAATTAGTTAACATCGTTATTTGTCTGAGATACCCAAGTGTTCATTGAACTGATGGTTTGAGCTTCAAGGCTGGGGCAGTGTCACCAGATCTGTCTGCACGTCTGGATTTACATGCATAAGAGGATCTGCACATCCATGTCTACAATGGCGGCCCACTAAATGCCAATCAAGCATGCTGGGAGCATCAAAGACAGACCTGACCCCCAACACACTCAAAGAGCTAAACTCCTCCAGTGGCTACACCATCCACCAAAATCAATGTGTCAAGACACTGCACTGATCACCACAGCTGTGGTTTTTCCTCCTGTGATCTGAGCTTTAGGATTATCAACTGGTGAGATACAGACACATCCTTAGTCACTCTATCTCTGTCATTCTAGACAGCAAAAATATAGACACTAACTCCGTTTCTCATGATGTCTCCAAAAGCCATATGAACACTTCAGTCCAGAACAACAGAGCCCTTCCCATTCAATGTTCTGAGCCACTCTCCCCAAGAAGAGAGCTACTTGACCATCTGCTCTAGAACTAGCACACAGAGCTCCCGAGAGCTCTGGGACCCCCCTCCTGCCTTCTCCAGGCCTCATGAGTGAAGACAGAAGGGCTGATCTCTTCTAGAGTTGAAAGCCAAGCTCTCTGTGTAAACCACCAGAGGGGCCCTCCAACCCCTGCACCATCGTGATGAAGGGGTACGTACCCCTGGGTAACAGGCACAAAACCCACTAAGGACAAGGAGTGTTGGAAGAACAGGGTGTTGGCATTCACCTCTCTCATTCCAACCTGGGTGCCCCATGGGGAACATCAGGATGGTCTTCAAAGACCAGCTCAGTGCCACTCCTCGGAAGAGCCTGCCCTGACCTGATGGACCATGGGAGTCCCTTCTTCTGAGTCCTTGGAGCACTTACAATACCTGTCATGATACAGCTGTCACTTTGTACCATTGAATATTGTTTCTCACATTAAGTGTCTTCTATTACATAGGGCAGTTCTGCTATAATACTTGTTTTGAAAACACAAATTTGTTCCAGTGTGACTGACATATTAGGAAACAGTTTCATCAAAATGCAAATTTTCTATTGGCTTACATGCACTATCAACTGCAAGAAACACTATGAATGCAGAAACCTGTATCTGGCTGACGCATGCCACCTGGGAATACACAAAACACACACACACCTCAAACATCGCTGCGCGTGGCTGAGTCAACCTTGTCTGGTGATACAGCCTTCCGGCCCATGTCAGAGAACCCTATGTCCGCCACCACGCGATAATTCACAAGCAGTAACCCTTCTGAAGCCACTTCCACAAGCAGATTTCAAGGTAAAGTGCCATGCATATATTGTGGTCTTATGTATTTCTTTGACATTTAACGTGTGTAAAACTATGCTATTGTTTTTATTCTTATCTTCTTTTGCTTTCTGTTACTGATGAAGTTTTTCAGTGTTATCCCCCTATCTCCACTTTCTCCATAGGCCCTGTGGTTTCCACTGTGCCATTCTGCATATACTGTGGTGATTTCTAGGAACACGCAAGTTGTGTTATAGCAGAACTAACCACATACTAAATGAGCTAATGTAATATACATATGGCTGCAACAGTGCCAGAATACAGTAGCGTTAGCTATCACCACCATCATCACCATCATTCTGTGTTTCATGGAGGCACAGACCATGGCATATAGGCCTTTGGGTAGTGCTCAGTGTCTTGCAATTGTCGATTATTCAATAAATATCTGTTTAATTGATGAACAGGTCAACAGTCACACTTGGTATTTCCTTATAAATTGCCTTCAAGGGCTTTAATATGCACCAGCAGTGAAAAATCACTCATCCTCAATAAGAAGGCTCAGAGAGATGTCCCAGTTATGTCCTGAAAGGGGGTACACCAAGCCCCCCACTCCTCCACCAGACCTCCCCACTCCTGATTGCCCTGCCTACCTTTAAGAAGTCAAAGTGCTTGAGCATCTGGGCCACTTTCTCAGCATTCCTCCCTTCATTGAGGAAATCCAGCTCCAAAGGCAGGTTCTTCTTGGCTTCATCCACCAGCCACATAAACTCAAACTCTGGGAATAGCTGTTTCACAGCCAGGACGAGCACCTGAAATCCACCAAGCACCCCATCAGTCAGCCCACAGCACCCACCAAGAGAGGTACATTTCCCACCCTCCTGTGGGTCCCCCCTAGAGTAAGGATGGGTGGGGAAACTGCTCCTCTGGGGTCCATCTCTGTAGTCTACACCAAGTCCAAAATGACGACAGCCGACAGTAACCATGACTACTGTCTGCTAAGCACTCCCCATGTGCCCAGCACCGGGCTAAGCACTTTACTTACCACCCCACTTAATCTTCACAACTCTGGGAGGTACACAGATGCACATCCTATCATCCCCATTTCATAGATGAGGAAGCTAAGGCTCTGAGAGGTTATATGACTTTCCCAAATTCGCCCAGCAGTGGAAGTAAGAGCCAGAATTCCACTTGAGTCTACCCAACTCCAAGGCCCCTACTCTGAAGCACTCCGCTCGACTGCTGCTGTTGCTGCTCCCAGATTTGTTCTTCGTGGTCCCATTTACAAAGCACTGAGAGGGTGCTTCAACTGTAACGTCATTTTTTTTTTCTTTTTTAAGCTAACTGGTTGGTACTCAAGCATCTATCATATTATTTCCTATGCTTTCTGTATGTCTAAAATATTTCATTAAAAAAGTTAAATTGGAATAAGAAAACAAGGCTGGACATGACAAGAGATAAAGTATTTGTCCATCTGGATAAAAAGCATGAATTTTTGGCAATTTGGATCCACAGTAGATTCTTGAGCAATGACGTGATGAAAGGGGGGTTTTAGAAGACTTAATCTGGCACCCAGGTGTCAGTTTAATGATGTGACATTAAACATCGTGGCAGAGAACAAGAGCCCAGTGAGATGGGAAGAGCACGTCACAGCCCCTCCGTGGGCACGGACTCAGTCCTGGGCTGCCCCACCACCAGGGCCCCAGATTTGAGACGGTTTCACAAGTTCACGGGTGATGGCTCTGCAGTGAGCGAGCAAGGGCGATACCAGGGATGTGGAAGGTGTTCCAGAATTCCGAAAGGGAAACACAGAAGGCAACTCCCCTGCTCTCCCATATGCTCTCCTGTCGGTGTTCAAAGCCAGGCCTGGGGATAACCACTGACTGATGCTCCCAGTAATTCTTGGTATAGATTGCAGTCCGAGTTCTCTGAAAACACCCACCTCCAGCCCTGGCTACAGTGGACTGCAAGGAGCAAGGACTAAAAAGCCATGGGCCTGGTGGTATCAAAAGACCTTCCCCTAATCTCCCCAGAAGGACTTACTGGGCCATGGCTAAGAGCCTTGCCCTATGCTTCTTTTTGCCCTGGTCTATGATGTTATGTCCAAAAAGGTGTTAGGCACGTGTGAGCCAAAAGAAATAAATCTAAAGCCAGGCCATTAACTAAAAGGCACTTATGGCTTTGTTTTTAAACTCTATGTCCTGGGTGATGTACCAGATGCCATTCTAAAAGAATCACCACACAGGGCTATTATACTCAATTTCTACCAAACCCCTTTTTAATTATCTTAGGATGTAGTTTAATTTCTTTTCAGTCTTGTCTGGTCTTTCATGGGCTGGACCTGTGACCTTATGATAATCGATTTAGTTTATGTTTTGTTTCTGTTTGTGTCACATGAGTCTAGGAGGGAGAGGTGGCAACGGAAAGGCCCAGACTGCACGTGTCAGACCAGGCACCCGGGCACGGCAGCCTCCAGACATCGCATCTCGTCACAGTGCCCTCAGCTGGCCCTCGGGAGCCACCAAAGCTGGGGCAGAGCAGGAGCACAGGAAACAGAAGCGACTCACCCGGGCTGTGGCCAAGCACCCCATCGAAGGCACCTGAATTCCACTCTCTGGGCTCTGAGAAAAGCCCCACAGCATTTTGCTCCAGCCAAAATCTCAGAGGGCCTAGCCCAGGCAGGGCAAGGAAAGGAGCCACAGTGAGGTCCCCTCATTTGTTCAATCAGTATTTACTGATTACCTTCTACGTAATTATCCTGGGCCAGACATGAGTATATACAGGGAGCTACCTGTAGCCTAGAGAGGCCTATCACTGGGGGGCGCGGGGGAAGGGGAATGAAGCTTCTAGCCAAGCAACAACTCCTCATTTATTGTATGGTCATTGTTATTTGTGAAATTTTAAATTATTATTAATGTCCAAACAGCACTGAGAGGCACATTAAAGATTTTTTTCTCTTACTAATCAATTACATAATTAGTCATTACTAACACTATTGGTTATTATTAATACCTAATGTCACTAATCATAAAAGCATGCATAGATTTTATTAATAATTGCTAATAACTAATTAATAAACTGATTCATAACCCAAAAAACTTTACAGTGCTCATAAAACTGGTTACTTAAACATTCTGTGGGTTGTGGGTCAGTCCCTTGGTCACTTTAAACTGAAAAGGCTTGTTTGAACGGGAGTCAGTGGTTCTTAGCTTTATGGGAGGTCACCATCCCCTTTATGGGAGGTCATCAATTTGAAAACCTGATGCCAGCTAGGAAGCTCAGAAAACGTACATACTCACATAATTTTGCACATAACTCAGGGGGTTCACCAGACCCTTGAAATTCACTGGTGGGGAGGGGAGGTCAGGTTAAGAGTCATCTGGTCCAAGTAGTTTTGGGCTGCTGTCATTTTAGACTTTTTCTTGGCTGAAGAGAATAAAATAAAACTCCTCAGTTTCACCTTCTGTTTTCATCCAATTCCCTTCTTAGATGAATCCATTTAGCCTGCCCTAAGCAGATTCATTTCACTTTTCCTTTCTGACAACAGATGCAATCAACTAAAATAAAACAGGTGTTGTTATCAATTCAACTTTTTGATTTTTCTCCCCAAATGTATCTTCTCCATAAAATTCTTCCAGCAGCCAATGTTTTCACCAGCACCTACCTCGTACTTAACGCTCAGCAGATGTTTATCAGATACTCACATGAACAAATGACTGAATAAATAAATGAATGAACAAATGAATGTTTCAAAGAGTTTGTTGTCTCCTCTGAGATAATTATAATTTCACCTGTGTATTATCCAAAGGGATTGAGTTTTTCTGTTTCTGAGGTCTTGGTGGAAAGAGCAAGAACCTATGAATTTGGAGGAACCATAGTTTCAGAATCCCTGAGAATTCTCTACTTGATCTGGAACCTTATGAGTCAATCAAGGTACATTCAAAAATTAGTACTTTCTTCAAGGTAAAATAATAAAACTATTTTCCTGGTAGGGTCACTGGCTCACAGGAGGAAAAAAATCAATCATGGGCCACAAAGAAATATAATGGGGAAAATGAACAGTCACATAGAAATTTGAAAACTAGTGACTGTTATTTACAATAGAAAAAAAAAATGGAAATTATCATTATTTAGTACCTACTACATGCCAGGCACTGTGCTACAAGGCACTTTACAGACACTCTTATTTAATCCTCTTCTTGCCAATTTTATGTAGAAGAAAAGCAGGTTCCTTGAGGTCAAGGTCACATAGTTTATAATTGCCAAAACAGGATCTAGACCCAGGTTTTTCTTGCTCTTTCTTTAAGCAGCCCTGCCTCATGCAACACAATACAGGACAGCACAATAGGAAGCTCAAGATAAGACACAGAAAGAGCTTTGTAAACTGTAAAATGCAACTGAAATGCGAGTTACTGTTATCAAGTTATTATATATTATAAAAGAAATAATGTGCTACAGAAAAAGAGCACACTAAATAGAACGCCTGTACCAATCCAAACTGGTAAAAATGAATGTCCGACAAGGATCGAAAATCAATTCAGAGTGATGTAAATAGCTTGCCATTCATGGGGTTTATCTTTGTTCTGATAAGTTATTAAAGTACACACGTTTTAGAAAACAGAATTATAGTGTGAAGAGAAGTTTCCATGGGATGGCCTACGTCTCTGGATATTTTTACATATATTTTTAAAAATAAAATCACTGTTGGATTCTGTGCCAACACAAACATTACCTAGCCACCCACTGTTCAATCAACACATTTAGTAAAGAAACAAGATGACAGACAGCACGCACTGCAAATGCTGCTCAAAAAAAGACAAAAACATGACTGTCACAGGTCTTTATTTTTAGAGACCCTTGGGATGGGCCAAATGACATCAAGTGGTGCTCAGGCCAGAGAGTTCCGCCCGAACATAGAAGAGAGCCTTAAGGACTGGTGGTACATGGTGGGCAAAGTACTTGGCCATGAGTTAGATTCCTTCAGGGTGACAGAGCAAGGGGATGTTTATCACTAATCAGAAGCCTGAGAGACAACCCGGAGTGATAGGGGGTGGTTGGGATCTGGGGATTATGTTCTTCCCACAGCTCACAGATCATCTGAGTCCTACCCTGCCCTCAAGCAGTGAGAATGGAAATGAGATGTGGCCGGCTAAGCTCCCTGCTAATGTGGGCAGACAAGAACTGCTGCAAAGCCAGCCCGCCAGCAGACGGATGGACTATGCTTCGTCAGTTCACCCCTTCCTGCTGAATCACTGTTCCAATCTCTAGGCCCAATTAGTCTGGCTCTGGACAGCCACTCAAATCAATAAGAGTCACTGGCCATGCATCTAGAAGTAGAGTTGCCCCAACTATTAAAGGGACAATATCAGGTGATAATGACAAAGCTGAAAAACATCCTTGCCTGTGCCTTTCTCTTTTGTGCAAAGTCATTGACACCATCAGATTCATCGAACACCATTTGCTGAGCATCAGCCCCCATTCTCTGCCATCATTAACAGTCTATCCCAGAGATCGCCTCCATTCCCCAAAAGGAATGCCAGGTTCACAGGAGACTCAAAGCTCCAGGGTGCCACATGCTATGGGGTGCCAACCCAACAGCCATCTCCCCTACCTTCCTCTCTAACACAACCCCAATGTTGTGCATCTTTCATGTCCACCAAGGAAAGCAAGCCTGAGAAGGTGAATCAAGGTTGGTTTAAGCCAATCGAGGTGGTCCCATTTCCCTTGCCAAGACTGATTTAGGTATGCGCATTACTCTGGCCAAGAAGATATAAAGGAAATTCCACTAGGGAACTCCGTTTTTATAAGGAAC